GTAAAGTGGAGGTGTGTAGAGTGGAGGTGTGTAGAGTGGAGGTGTGTAGAGTGGAGGTGTGTAGAGTGGAGGTGTGTAGAGTGGAGATGTTTAGAGGTGTGTAGAGTGGAGGTGTGTAGAGTGGAGGTGTGTAGAGGTGTGTAGAGTGGAGGTGTGTAGAGTGGAGGTGTGTAGAGTGGAGGTGTGTAGAGTAGAGGTGTGTAGAGTGGAGGTGTGTAGAGTGGAGGTGTGTAGAGTGGAGGTGTGTAGAGGTGTGTAGAGTGGAGGTGTGTAGAGTGGAGGTGTGTAGCGTTGTGTAGAGTGGAGGTGTGTAGAGTGAAGGTGTGTAGAGTGGAGGTGTGTAGAGGTGTGTAGAGTGGAGGTGTGTAGAGTGGAGGTGTGTAGAGTGGAGGTGTGTAGAGTGGAGGTGTGTAGAGTGGAGGTGTGTAGAGTGGAGGTGTGTAGAGTGGAGGTGTGTAGAGTGGAGGTGTGGAGGTGTGTAGAGTGGAGGTGTGTAGAGTGGAGGTGTGTAGAGTGGAGGTGTGTAGAGTGGAGGTGTGTAGAGTGGAGGTGTGTAGAGTGGAGGTGTGTAGAGTGAAGGTGTGTAGAGTGGAGGTGTGTAGCGGTGTGTAGAGTGGAGGTGTGTAGAGTGGAGGTGTGTAGAGTGGAGGTGTGTAGAGTGGAGGTGTGTAGAGTGGAGGTGTGTAGAGTGGAGGTGTGTAGAGTGGAGGTGTGTAAAGTGGAGGTGTGTAGAGTGGAGGTGTGTAGAGTGGAGGTGTGTAGAGTGGAGGTGTGTAGAGTGGAGGTGTGTAGAGTAGAGGTGTGTAGAGTGGAGGTGTGTAGAGTGGAGGTGTGTAGAGTGGAGGTGTGTAGAGTGGAGGTGTGTAGAGTGGAGGTGTGTAGAGTGGAGGTGTGTAGAGTGGAGGTGTGTAGCGGTGTGTAGAGTGGAGGTGTGGAGGTGTGTAGAGTGGAGGTGTGTAGAGTGGAGGTGTGTAGAGTGGAGGTGTGTAGAGTGGAGGTGTGTAGAGTGGAGGTGTGTAGAGTGAAGGTGTGTAGAGTGGAGGTGTGTAGCGGTGTGTAGAGTGGAGGTGTGTAGAGTGGAGGTGTGTAGAGTGGAGGTGTGTAGAGTGGAGGTGTGTAGAGTGGAGGTGTGTAAAGTGGAGGTGTGTAGAGTGGAGGTGTGTAGAGTGGAGGTGTGTAGAGTGGAGGTGTGTAGAGTGGAGGTGTGTAGAGTAGAGGTGTGTAGAGTGGAGGTGTGTAGAGTGGAGGTGTGTAGAGTGGAGGTGTGTAGAGTGGAGGTGTGTAGAGTGGAGGTGTGTAGAGTGGAGGTGTGTAGACTGGAGGTGTGTCGGTATGTAGAGTAGAGGTGTGTAGAGTGGAGGTGTGTAGGTGTGTAGAGTGGAGGTGTGTAGAGTGGAGGTGTGTAGGTGTGTAGAGTGGAGGTGTGTAGGTGTGTAGAGTGGAGGTGTGGAGGTGTGTAGAGTGGAGGTGTGTAGGTGTGTAGAGTGGAGGTGTGTAGAGTGGAGGTGTGTAGAGTGGAGGTGTGTCGGTATGTAGAGTAGAGGTGTGTAGAGTGAAGGTGTGTAGGTGTGTAGAGTGGTGGTGTGTAGGTGTGTAGGGTGGAGGTGTGTAGAGTGGAGGTGTGTAGAGTGGAGGTGTGTAGAGTGGAGGTGTGTAGAGTAGAGGTGTGTAGAGTGGAGGTGTGTAGAGTGGAGGTGTGTAGAGTGGAGGTGTGTAGAGGTGTGTAGAGTGGAGGTGTGTAGAGTGGAGGTGTGTAGCGGTGTGTAGAGTAGAGGTGTGTAGAGTGAAGGTGTGTAGAGTGGAGGTGTGTAGAGGTGTGTAGAGTGGAGGTGTGTAGAGTGGAGGTGTGTAGGTGTGTAGAGTGGAGGTGTGTAGAGTGGAGGTGTGTAGAGTGGAGGTGTGTCGGTATGTAGAGTAGAGGTGTGTAGAGTGAAGGTGTGTAGGTGTGTAGAGTGGAGGTGTGTAGGTGTGTAGAGTGGAGCTGTGTAGAGTGGAGGTGTGTAGAGTGGAGGTGTGTAGAGTGGAGGTGTGTAGAGTAGAGGTGTGTAGAGTGGAGGTGTGTAGAGTGGAGGTGTGTAGAGTAGAGGTGTGTAGAGTGGAGGTGTGTAGAGTGGAGGTGTGTAGAGTGGAGGTGTGTAGAGTGGAGGTGTGTAGAGTGGAGGTGTGTAGAGTGGAGGTGTGTAGAGTGGAGGTGTGTAGAGTGGAGGTGTGTAGAGTGGAGATGTGTAGAGGTGTGTAGAGTGGAGGTGTGTAGAGTGGAGGTGTGTAGAGGCGTGTAGAGTGGAGGTGTGTAGAGTGGAGGTGTGTAGAGTGGAGGTGTGTAGAGTACAGGTGTGTAGAGTGGAGGTGTGTAGAGTGGAGGTGTGTAGAGTGGAGGTGTGTAGAGGTGTGTAGAGTGGAGGTGTGTAGCGGTGTGTAGAGTGGAGGTGTGTAGAGTGAAGGTGTGTAGAATGGAGGTGTGTAGAGGTGTGTAGAGTGGAGGTGTGTAGAGTGGAGGTGTGTAGAGTGGAGGTGTGTAGAGTGGAGGTGTGTAGAGTGGAGGTGTGTAGAGTGGAGGTGTGTAGATTGGAGGTGTGTAGAGTGGAGGTGTGTAGGTGTGTAGAGTGGAGGTGTGTAGAGTGGAGGTGTGTAGAGTGGAGGTGTGTAGAGTGGAGGTGTGTAGAGTGGAGGTGTGTAGAGTGGAGGTGTGTAGAGTGGAGGTGTGTAGAGTGGAGGTGTGTAGAGTGGAGGTGTGTAGAGTGGAGGTGTGCAGAGTGGAGGTGTGTAGAGTGGAGGTGTGCAGAGTGGAGGTGTGTAGAGTGGAGGTGTGTAGAGTGGAGGTGTGTAGCGGTGTGTAGAGTAGAGGTGTGTAGAGTGGAGGTGTGTAGAGTGGAGGTGTGTAGCGGTGTGTAGAGTGGAGGTGTGTAGAGTGGAGGTGTGTAGAGTGGAGGTGTGTAGAGTGGAGGTGTGTAGAGTGGAGGTGTGTAGCGGTGTGTAGAGTGGAGGAGTGTAGAGTGGAGGTGTGTAGAGTGGAGGTGTGTAGAGTGGAGGTGTGTAGAGTGGAGGTGTGTAGAGTGGAGGTGTGTAGAGTGGAGGTGTGTAGAGTGGAGGTGTGTAGAGTGGAGGTGTGTAGAGTGGAGATGTGTAGAGTAGAGGTGTGTAGAGTGGAGGTGTGTAGAGTGGAGGTGTGTAGAGTGGAGGTGTGTAGAGTGGAGGTGTGTAGAGTGGAGGTGTGTAGAGTGGAGGTGTGTAGAGTGAAGGTGTGTAGGTGTGTAGAGTGGAGGTGTGTAGAGTGGAGGTGTGTAGAGTGGAGGTGTGTAGAGTGGAGGTGTGTAGAGTGGAGGTGTGTAGAGTGAAGGTGTGTAGGTGTGTAGAGTGGAGGTGTGTAGAGTGGAGGTGTGTAGAGTGGAGGTGTGTAGAGTTTAGGTGTGTAGAGTGAAGGTGTGTAGGTGTGTAGAGTGGAGGTGTGTAGAGTGGAGGTGGGTAGAGTGGAGGTGTGTAGAATGGAGGTGTGTAGGTGTGTAGAGTGGCGGTGTGTAGAGTGGAGGTGTGTAGAGTGGAGGTGTGTAGAGTGGAGGTGTGTAGAGTGGAGGTGTGTAGAGTGGAGGTGTGTAGAGTGGAGGTGTGTAGAGTGGAGGTGTGTAGAGTGGAGGTGTGTAGCGGTGTGTAGAGTGGAGGTGTGTAGAGTGGAGGTGTGTAGAGTGGAGGTGTGTAGAGTGGAGGTGTGTACATATTGAAGTGAAAATTATGGGTATGTTGATTTGGGCGGTTGTGGGGCGGGCTGAGGTGGAGTGGATGAGGGTTAGTTTCACAAAAATCGAGTCCCTAATATGGAATTGATTACATAATATTTTCCAATGAGTAAATGTTTCTACTAATATGTATTCGATTACAGTTGAATCTTGTAACAAAATGTAATCGACTTTAGTTCATCTAAAACAAACGTGAATATTTCGTCGTGTCGATCTCCCCAAACTTCCTCCCCCCACCCAGCCTGCATGTCCACGAGAGAGCACCGACACCCCTCGCCCCCACCCACACAAACACACACACTGACACCCACACAAACACACACACTGCCACTATCAAACAGATTACCCAGAGGACCACTCAAAAACCGGAAGTCTCGTGAGGGCGTTGGCTTCAATCAGCTGATGATATTTTTTTTTCTGCAGTGTGGGCTTCACAGGGACCACACCATCAATTAGCGGACCACATCATCAATTGGCGGACCACATCATCAATTAGCGGACCACATCATCAATTAGCGGACCACACCATCAATTAGCGGACCACATCATCAATTAGCGGACCACATCATCAATTAGCGGACCACATCATCAATTAGCGGACCACTCCATCAACTAGCGGACCACATCATCAATTAGCGGACCACATCATCAATTAGCGGACCACACCATCAATTAGCGGACCACATCATCAATTAGCGGACCACATCATCAATAAGCGGACCACATCATCAATTAGCGGACCACACCATCAATTAGGGGACCACATCATCAATTAGCGGACCACATCATCAATTAGCGGACCACATCATCAATTAGCGGACCACACCATCAATTAGCGGACCACATCATCAATTAGCGGACCACATCATCAATTAGCGGACCACATCATCAATTAGCGGACCACATCATCAATTAGCGGACCACACCATCAATTAGCGGACCACACCATCAATTAGCGGACCACACCACCAATTAGCGGACCACATCATCAATTAGCGGACCACACCATCAATTAGCGGACCACACCATCAATTAGCGGACCACATCATCAATTAGCGGACCACACCATCAACTAACGGACCATAAATTTGTGACACCTTAGCATTTTGTTGTCGAGATTATGCTTGTGTGACGTCAAAAGGTCAAACGACTAGATTATTAGAAATGTTTTATAAAACAAATTTTCTGGCATATGTTTTGTAATAACAGAGATATAAGCTAATTATTACACTGCTACAGATGTAATCAGATACTTACACTGGTGAAGATTCCTGTTCCTGTCACACTTTTGGCCAGCTCGACGAACCAGGATCGAAAACTTTCCACCCCGTTGAAAATTCTGTGGATAGAAACAAATGTTTGATGCAGCTAAATTCTGTGGCTGACACAGCTAAATTCTGTGGCTGACACAAGTTTAAAGCTGGTGAACACGACCCTGATTCAGCACACATTGCTTCAAACACATTTCTAATAGTTTGATGATTTAAAAGTGCCCATCTACAGGAGCGGTAACTCTCTCTACAGGAGCGGTAACTCTGTCAGTCTAGGAGACATTTTCCCCGTGACGTCACCCTAGGGCTTTATTTGAATGTCTTTGAAGACTCGACAAGGGAAATAATTTGGTTAGAAAGTTATTGCTCGGTTGTTCCCCGTGTAAGACCAGACCAGACAGAGAATGGCTGTGTCCCCTGGGTGAAGGGGGAGCGTCAAGGTTGAGAGAGAACTGAAAGTTTACTTTTGTAATGGGGAGTCGTGGACAGGGAATTCTAAAACGTTTTTTTATTACAACCAAAGGTCTAGTTTCTAGCTGTAATTAACTACAGATATCAAGGCGACATAACCCACATATGTCAAGGGGACATAACCCACATATATCAAGGGGACATAACCCACATATATCAAGGGGACATAACACACATATATCAAGGGGACATAACACACATATATCAAGGGGACATAACACACATATATCAAGGGGACATAACCCACATATATCAAGGGGATGTTATCTTCATCCTAAAGAACTTAGACATTCTCTGGGAGACGAACAACTGCCGTATTAGTAGAGGTAAGACTTGCCGTATTAGGAGAGGTAAGACTTGGCGTATTAGGGGAGGTAAGACTTGCCGTATTAGGGGAGGTAAGACTTGGCGTATTAGGGGAGGTAAGACTTGCCGTATTAGGGGAGGTAAGACTTGCCGTATTAGGGGAGGTAAGACTTGCCGTATTAGGGGAGGTAAGACTTGCCGTATTAGGAGAGGTAAGACTTGCCGTATTAGGGGAGGTAAGACTTGGCGTATTAGGAGAGGTAAGACTTGCCGTATATGGGGAGGTAAGACTTGCCGTATTAGGAGAGGTAAGACTTGGCGTATTAGGGGAGGTAAGACTTGCCGTATTAGGGGAGGTAAGACTTGCCGTATTAGGAGAGGTAAGACTTGCCGTATTAGGAGAGGTAAGACTTGGCGTATTAGGGGAGGTAAGACTTGCCGTATTAGGGGAGGTAAGACTTGCCGTATTAGGAGAGGTAAGACTTGCCGTATTAGGAGAGGTAAGACTTGGCGTATTAGGGGAGGTAAGACTTGCCGTATTAGGGGAGGTAAGACTTGCCGTATTAGGGGAGGTAAGACTTGCCGTATTAGGAGAGGTAAGACTTGCCATTTGACCTAAGACGAACGGAAATGACGTCACACTGTTAGTGACGTCAGATGACAGAGGTGTAAGATAAAACAAAACTAGATGTCACAAACACTGTAGGAAAGCCTCCCCCCCCCCCATTTCCTCTCCTTGTTCGGTGATTAACCCCCCCCCCCCCCTCTCCTTGTTCGGTGATTAACCCCCCCCCCCCCCCGTACCGCGGAAAATTATCAAGGATGCTGAGTTACACGGTGTTATAGGCGGGTTCGCTGTGTATTTAGAGATGTCATTTGGTGAGTTTAGGCATGTCATTTGGTGAGAGTTTAGAGAAGTCATTAGTGAGTGTTTAGATGTCATTGGGCTAACTCAAACAACTCACAAGGGAGCTAATTCAAACCGTTCTTCACAAAATTCAAATGTTTTAATGTTGAGGCAGTGCAATCACACACAAAAGTAGCTGCATTAGTTGCATCCATAGTACCTCCCAACCCCCCCCCCCCCCCCAATGAGTTAAATCTGCCTCCCACCCCTCCCACCCCTCCCCCACTACCACCACAATCACCACCCCCATACCCACCCCTTTCAATCACAGCCTCCCCTCACCCTACACGCCAGTAATTAACGTTCGTGTTGCCAACACGACATGACCAGATCCAGAAGATTCCATTTCCCGTGCCATTAGTCTCCCCCTCCCTCCCCCCTCCCCATTGATATCTACTCTCTTGTTGTGAGGACCACTCGCCACCTCCTCGATACCACGGGCTGGCTGAGAACATCAGCAGACGACAACAGCCTCACCCTCGCTCGTGGATGTCAGGTCTACATTGTAGGTATACGTCCTTATGCCACATGGTTACATACAACACGACACTTATATATATATATTATATATATATATATATATATATATATATATATATATATATATATATATATATATAGAGAGAGAGAGAGAGAGAGAGAGGGATATATATATATATATATATATATATATATATATATATATATATATATATATATATATATGTTTGTATGTTTGTATGTGTGTTATTGTGTCCGGCTAACGACCGGCTTGTAGGATAATGTTCTCTATAAATTGAATTAAAAAAAAAAGCGCCGACGTAAAAGTTTGATCGTATTATCTTGTCCAGATACCTGAAGGGTGTGGAAAAAGTTTTCTCACTAAATCTGAGACTCAATGTTCTGACGTCTCACTAAATTTGAGACTCGATGTTCTGACGTCTCACTAAATCTGAGACTCGATGTTCTGACGTCTCACTAAATCTGAGACTCGATGTTCTGACGTCTCACTAAATCTGAGACTCAACGTTCTGACGTCTCACTAAATCTGAGACTCGATGTTCTGACGTCTCACTAAATCTGAGACTCAACGTTCTGACGTCTCACTAAATCTGAGACTCGATGTTCTGACGTCTCACTAAATCTGACACTCGATGTTCTGACGTCTCACTAAATCTGAGACTCGATGTTCTGACGTCTCACTAAATCTGAGACTCAATGTTCTTGTCTCCTGTCTACCAACGTTCTGACGTTTTTTCTCATGTGTAAACTTGGCATCATCTGGAGAAATGTTTTCAATCAGTTTTTAATTTTAAAATGTAGATAATTTTTTGATGATTTGTTAACATGTGTTTGTTCACATTGTTTATGTTTCGTATACTCCGGTAGTTTGTCGGCGTTTTTCTTCGAGCTATTCGGCGTTTTTGCTTTTAAATTTTTATTTTTAAATTGAACTTTCTTCTAATTTTCTTGAATTTTCCCGGGCCCACAACCCACACGTGAAGACATCATTAAGATGTTGGACCAAAGTGTCAGAGGGGGTGTGGTTGAACTCTAGGACCCCTCCAACCCTCCACCCCCCCCCCACCTAACCCTGCCCTGATTTTAGCCGTTTGACGTCTGGGAGTTTTCCTTTTTATGAGGGTCTGGCAGAGATCTGGGAGGGGGGGGGGGGTATTGGTGGGTCAAAGGCCAGAGAAGATTAAATCAGACTCGACATTTGTCATTCAAGACTTTTACACTCTTGACATACGTCATACAAGACTCTTACACTCTTGACATATGTCATTCAAGACTTTTACACTCTTGACATACGTCATACAAGACTCTTACACTCTTGACATATGTCATACAAGACTCTTACACTCTTGACATATGTCATACAAGACTCTTACACTCTTGACATATGTCATACAAGACTCTTACACTCTTGACATATGTCATACAAGACTCCTACACACTCGACATATGTCACGACTCCTACATACTCGACAAATATCATACAAGACTCAACCAATGACTCCTCTGCTTACTGAGCGACACAGTTTTCTTCCTACAGCCGGGCCCTAGGTGGCTTCATGTATTGCCAGGGTTTCCCATAACCCACATTCTGATACAATCAGACGTATGATCAATCAGACTTTAAAATACATCAGACGTATAATAAATCAGACGTATAATAAATGAGACGTATAATAAATGAGACGTATAATAAATGTAACAAAATAAATGAGACTTTAAAAAAATGAGACGTATAATAAATGTGACGTATAATAAATGTGACGTATAATAAATGTGATGTATAATAAATGAGACGTATAATAAATGAGACGTATAATAAATGTGACAAAATAAATGAGACTTTAAAAAAATGAGACGTATAATAAATGAGACGTATAATAAATGTGATGTATAATAAATGAGACGTATAATAAATGAGACGTATAATAAATGTGACAAAATAAATGAGACTTTAAAAAAATGAGACGTATAATAAATGAGACATATAATTAACGAGGGGAAATCAAATTTTCTCCGTTTGCCTATTGCCGATCTGAAAAAGAAACGCTACAATAATCTGGCACAATGACAGCATGACAGCTAAATTAATGGTGTCAGTTTTTGAACCAATCGTCTCCCAGCACCTCTCGTATGCCAAGGTCTGGCATGATGAAATTAGGTCAAACTTTGAAGGTCAAACTTTGGAGGTCAAACTTTGAAGGTCAAACTTTGGAGGTCAAACTTTGGAGGTCAAACTTTGAAGGTCAAACTTTGAAGGTCAAACTTTGAAGGTCAAACTTTGGAGGTCAAACTTTGAAGGTCAAACTTTGGAGGTCAAACTTTGGAGGTCAAACTTTAGAGGTCCAGCTAAACTTGTGCTCACATGACCACGGAAACTTTAGCCGAGCTATTGTCTCAGGCCAGGATCGAAGATTTTAATGACTTGTCAGAATCGAATGCGATACGATACATCTCATTTTAAAACGATTCGATACATCACACTTTAATGCGATAAAATACTACTGAATTAAATGCGATGCGATACATCTCATTTTAAAACGATTCGATACATCTCATTTTAATAGGCGGGTAATCAGCTTAAAACCGTTTTAAATACTCTATAATCGAGTCTTACGTAATCGTGCGTTCCAAAGAAATAGGTATCGATTCTACATGCAACGACTCGAATTTAGTTTGGTGGAATCCATAGAAGCGCATTTCATAAAATAATAGGACTGGAAGGTGTTGGTTAGATGGTGTTTGTTAGATGTTGGTGGTTAGATGTTGTTGGTTAGATGTTGTTGGTTAGATGTTGTTGGTTAGATGTTGTTGGTTAGATGTTGGTGGTTAGATGTTGTTGGTTAGATGGTGTTGGTTAGATGTTGGTGGTTAGATGGTGTTGGT